TATTATAATTTCAACCAAATAGAATGATGAGAAAAGGCTAAAATAGTGAAGGAAAGATGTGGCTTTTAGCTCTAAATCTAGGGCATTTAAAGGAGATTTTTAAAAATCAGAGCTCATATCTGAGACAAAAAGGCTGACAGAAAAACGACGAAGAAGTTTTAGGCTCAAACAAACTCCAGTCGATGATGGAGTGCAGTGGTTGGTGATGGTATAATGGTCAACAGTAGTGGTCAAAAATAGTGGGGAGAAAGAGAAGTAGAGGAATTGAATTTTAGAGAGAGAGAGAAAAAGAAAGTGAAGAAAAAATAAACTTATAGAAAGCCAAAACTATGTCGTTTTAGGAAGTAAAGTCAGTTGGATCATTTGACCCAATTTTAAACCCACGAGCCGACCTAACTATCAATGCAATCCAGATTTGCAGGCCTACTCCATATTTGTGTAGTGCATCCATTCCTTTATGGATTGAAATTCAAGGCCTAAGGTACATTTCTATTATTCTTTGTTTATCCTATTACATGTATGTTTGTATTTCTTTATATTAGATACATATTTAACTATTTTTAATTAGTGTTAATATTATGAAACAAGTCATTTAAGTTAAAATGCAAATTTAATTCTCTTTGTATAAATAAATATATATATATTTGTATTACTTAAAAAATTCAAAAGTGTAGCAAGTAAGTGAATTATTTCAACAATGAAAGTCTAAAAATCAAGAATGGTTAAAATTTTAGAAATTCCTAAGTGAAGTTTTTACTTATATTTTCCATAATGATGGGATTTTTAAGTTAAAAATGTGATATCAAAAAATAACAAGAATAAAACAAACAAATTGAGAAATTTTTAGAATATATTTTGGAATTAAAACCTTTTATAATTCAAATGAGGAAATTCTAAAAATCACAAATGGGTGATTTTTTTTAGAAATTTCTAATTGAGAAGTTTTATCCTAAACATTTCCAAAAAAGTGAAAATTTTAGATGAAAATTTCAAGTACAAAAATAATTTACAAAAATCAAGAATAAAATGGATAAGAATATAATTCTTAAAAATAAATGAAAATTAGCCAAATGATAAAATTTTAGAAATCAGGAATGGTTGGATTTCTAGAAATTTTTAAATGAGAAATTTCTATTTACATTTGCCAAAATGGTGGTAAAATTAGATAAAATTTTAATAATGATATTTTTAAGCATAGTAAACACTAAGGATGGAAATGATAAATTTTAGAAATAATAAAAACAAAATTTTGAAATAAGAATAAAGTAAATTCAATGATGAAATTCTAAAAAATAAAGAATGATTGATTTTCTTATAAATCTTTAGGTTAGAAAATATTTTTAAATAAAATAGTGGATAAGTTTAGATATTTTTCAATAAAAATGATTTAAAATAAAAATGATGATTAACAATAAATTAATCAATCTAACGATGGAGTTTCTTCAAAAAATAAATAAGATTCTTAAATACTCTTGAAGTGAAGAAGTATTTTTGAAAATTTTGTCAAATTGATGGAGAAACCTTAAAATTTATTTTCAATAGTTAAATATTAAAATTTAATAAAAGACCATTAGAACCAAAGATCCTTAGGATAATTTAAAATTAAATGGTACCATCTTTTAGACAGATGTGTGGGGGTACTATAACCTTCTTGATATATAACCAAACTCTCAGATTTAGTTTTGAAATAGTTTTGAAACACAGATCAAAACTTATTCTTTTAAGAACCTTAGTTAAGTTTAGAACTTGCTCAAAAGAATAGATTCATCTAAGTAGTCAATCACTCTCGAACAAAAAAAAAAATTGATGGCAACTTTTAAGTTGTTTGTCCAGCAATAGGTTTATGAACTCATATTATTACAGATCTAAATGCATTTTTTATTTTAGTAGGTAAAAAATGTTAAGTTTATATAAAAATAAAAATAAAAAACTAATTGAACATAAACCTAATAATTATTATACGTTAACTCATAAGTCATGACATCATTTAATTTAATTTTTCCTATCATTTAACCATCATAATATTTCATTTTTTAAGTTGATATCTAAAATTAAAAAAAAATTCCACATACATTAAAGCTTCACCATTTTAACTTTCCATCCTTTTATCAATATAATAATTTTTTTAATTCATCAATTATTATTAAATTCGAAAAAGAATACTAAATATAAAATTTTCAAAGCAAATATTAATCTTAATATCCATCCAACACTAATTTACCATAAAATCAATATAAAAATTATGCATGAAAAATCAAGACTCAACATTCTTCTAATAAAATAATTTTTTAATTCAAAAACTATTATTAAATTTAAAGAAATATTAAATATAAAAACTCCAAAAAAAAAACTTCAAACTCCATTACAACACCCTACCTCATTTACTAAAAAATATATTTAAAATTACACTTATAAAATTAAGCCTACCCGATGTGTATATAACACTAATGACCAGCAAAATTTCACTCACATAAATGTCGAACAAAAAACTTTAAACTAATACCTATATCAATAATTACAATCCATCAAAACACCCAACAAAATATTAAATATCAAACACACTTTTAAAAGTACCAGTTGAATGTGTTGCAATATATACCTATTCTGTTTGATATTTATAATATGTTTGCTAAGCGTCAACTTTCAAAGTATCTAAGTATCATTTAAAAATACCAATTGAATGAGTTGTAATATATAACTATAACTATTAATAAAAATAAAATTATTACGATTATAAAATTAAAAAACAAAAAAAAGTAAGATCAAGAAATTATCCAATAGATGTTATATAGATATTGATTATTGAATATTAAAAAAATTGTTCATGCACCAATTGAATCCAATTGAGGCCACATGGCCTTCGATTGAGCAATCAAATTTGGAGATTGCTAAATTTACATTCTTCCTTTTCTCCTCATGAAAGTAATTTTTTTGGTATATTTTTTTACATAGGAGGCAGTAATTTGAAAAAAAAAAAATTTATTGTAAGCAATGAAATTCGAACTCTTATATCTTTTATGTCTTTATGGGTGTTATCTATATTGTTAACAAAGTACTAACTAATTGAGTTTTGTATCACTGAATTAAGGGACATCAATTCAGTTGATGAATTATACAAAAATTCAAATTACATCATATTAAATATATAATAAAATCAAACATAATTTGCCATAAAATTTAAGTATTTCTAATTAATTTTGTTCTGAAAATATTCAAATATTTCATTAAAAAACTACTGACTATTTTTATAGTTAACATAACTTTCTTTTCTATTTGTTTTCATTTTTTATTTTATTTTTCTCTTTCATCCAAAGAGTGAGTGTGTCAAATTTTAATATTAATTGATTCTGTGTTTTTACTTTTTGAACAATTAAATTATCGTTAAGGTAGCATTTGATATTTTTTATAAGATTATCGTGATAATGTAATAACCAAAGTGATCTTATTACTAAAATAATCTTATTACTCATGATTTGAAATCACTTTATTTGATTAATAATCAGTAATACTTAATAATTGTAGATCATTATATTTGATATTACTAAATATCAAATATTACTTTTGATTAAAGTATGAAAATAAACCTGCATATTGTAATAGTTATATAATTTAATGATTTTAATGTTATTGAAAGATAATAATTTGTAAAATATTAGTAAATTTTTATTTATTTTATAATAAATATAATTAAATTATAAAATTAATAAATATTTATTGATAAATAAACTAACTTTTATAATATAAATTATTAAAGAAATATTTGAATTAAAAAATAAAACTAATCTATTGAATCCATAATAAAAGAAAATTAAAAAGATTATACTATATATTAACTATTAAAAAAAAACACAAATTATTTTTGAACTTATTATAATGAATATTAATTTTAAAATATAAATTAAAATTTATAATATAAAATAATTATAATTTTAAGAGGAAACAAGTTTTGAATTTGGATATTAAATGAATAATATTTACAATTGTTAATTTTACTGATAAAAGTTTTTTTATTTTTTTGAATAAAAATTACATCATTTTCCAATATCATAATCTAATTACTCTTAATAATCTAAAATCACGTACACATAAAATTACTAAATATATACCAAATACGATTATTTAATTGAAATGATCACTTATACCAACCGTTACCTAAAAGTACTTTCGTATTACGTTTATAATTAGGTTTTGGACACGTGTGGCGGATAGAAATGAAGAAGAATTTTGAGATTTTTCCTTCTTTACAACAAGGTATTGGGGGCTGCATTAGTTTGACTGAAAAAACAGTTTTAGCTAGGTAGTTAATTAATCTTAGAGAAGAAAGCCCATAGCAAAGTGTCCACGTGCAGTAGTCCTTACACATATCCCAATTGAAGCTTAGTGTTAGTTAGGTCTGAAAGGTTATCAGAAACCTGAAAACCTCCGATACATGCCCATCACGTAATTTATGAATGAGAAATTATTAAATATATGAGTAGTGCAGTTTTTTAGTCTTTATCGGCCGGATTAATAGGGTAAGATATATTTCGTTTAAGTTATATTAAAAAATAAAAATAATTAATTAAATAAATAAAATATGTATTAATTTTTTAAATACATTTATGAAATAAAAAAATTTTACTGATGATGTATCAAATAATCACTCTTTATAAATTAATATCTAATAAAAACAATTTTTATTGTTGCATGTTATCACATATACACATGCACATATATATATATATATATATATATATATACACGTTTACATGTATCAAAGCAATCGACTAGTTTTGCAATAACAAGAAAATTACATGAGTCCGAGTATTTAATTAACTCCATTCAAGTATCATGATTCCAATCATTTTTTTTTAAATTGTATTTGATCAATATATATTTTTCATTATTCTTAATACTATGTTTTATTTGGAACTTGGGAGTATTAAAATTAGCACTTGATCTTTGATAAATTAAAGGATGACAATGTTGTTTTTTAGTGTATATATATAGAGTAAGTAATTAGTAAATATAATTGGAAATTTAAGAAAAAGAAAAGAAAAAGGGTATGTGTAGAATGCAAATTGGTAGCTAGGTGGGTTATAAGTAGAGGTTGTAGGTTAGAAAGTAGTAAGGATGTTGAAAGGAGAAGGAAATTCACCCCACCAAGCAACCTCTCTTTCTTTGTGTGTGAAAAGTTGATTGATTACTTATAAGCGTTTGTTAGCCTAGACGTTGCATCAATCAATCGCTGCTACGGCTCTCTCCAAACCCTCCAACTCTCTAACGGAAAACCCCTCCCTTCTTCCTCTATCTCATCTCATCGCTTCTCTTCTTGTCTTGTTTGCCAACCCGCAACTATCTCTTTCTCTTCTTCCTCTATCCGATTTCAATACCCTTTAATTTTTTTTTTTGTTTCATTTCTATGTTTCTTTCCAATAGCTACCTTCAATTCTTACTTTACAAAGTGAAAGATCATCACCAAGTTAATTTCTTTCGAGATCCTTCCAGATACAGCAATTAATATTGAATATCAGCATATAGCTAGCTAGGCATAACCGACAGCTAGCCAGGGGTTGCTTGGATCTTTAAGCTTTATAGCTTGCTTGCTTGTTGCAATAAATATTCATCAGCAGAGATCAGATCATGTGCACCAGAGGCCACTGGAGGCCTGCTGAAGATGAAAGGCTCCGGGAGTTGGTGGAACGCTATGGCCCTCAGAATTGGAACGCCATAGCCGAAAAGCTTCAAGGCAGATCAGGTGAAACTCCAAAATCATATCCATATGCTATATGTATTTCATTTCTTAATTACCCCTTCCTTTTTAGTGCTATAAATTTTTCTTCTACCTATTATTCATGTATTAGTTATAATTGTTAACAAAATCTACTTTTGTCTAGTTAGGGTTTCAATTTTCATTTCAGCAACAGTACATCCAAAACCCCACATGCCTTCTTTGTTGCTAAATAAAAATAAAAGTAATTAACCAAGGAAAAACATATGCGTATTTTTTATTAAATCAGGAAAAAGCTGTAGGCTGAGATGGTTCAATCAGTTGGATCCGAGAATAAATAGAAGCCCTTTCACGGAACAGGAAGAAGAACGGCTTTTGGCTTCTCACAGGATCCATGGAAATAGATGGGCTGTTATTGCCAGGCTTTTCCCTGGTCGCACTGATAACGCCGTCAAGAACCATTGGCATGTCATCATGGCTCGTAGATACAGAGAACGATCCAGGCTCTATGCCAAAAGATCACTTTCCAGTGGCAAAAAACCTTCCTCTAAACTACTAGATCAAGCTGTTCACTCTCAGATAACTAATAGTTTTGCCCCACTTTTCCAGAAATACAAGCAAGGATTCCTTCACACTTATTCTCCTCATGTTTTCAAAGAGTTTTACGCTCAGTATCGAAGCCATTGTGTTAAAATCACTGGAGGTTCGTAATTTATATATATTTCCGTATAAACCTAGATGTGATGTGTTTCTTGCTTTCCTCTACCAAATAATTAACATTATTTACATTATATATATATATATATATTAATTGCAGACAAAAATCAGCCAATTGAATTCTATGATTTCCTTCAAGTAAATACGGACTCCAACAAAAGTGAAGTGACAGACAACACCAGGAGAGATGATGAGGAGGTAGATCAGGAAGCAATGGAACAGCAGAGCAAGGTTGGGGCTTCCTTCATCGATTTCTTATCGGTCGGAAGCTCCTCGTAACGTTTGTGTCTCGACCTTTCACGTAGGATGACATATATCTCTGTAAAAGAATCATCACTTGCATGAACACATTGTAGGAAAAAAAAAAAAAAGAAGAAGAAAAGGAACTAATTCCAAGCTTTGATGGATGTTGCCACTGCATTCATTGACACATCATATTTAAGAAAATCTATGAAGCAATCTAGGCTTTATATAGAAAACAGAAGGCAATATTATGTTTGCTATAGTTTACGCAAAATCTTCTTCTCCTAAGTTGCCGATCAACTAGTTTCAAGGAGTTTTTGCATCTAAAAATTGGGAAAATCCTAGATGCATGTCTCTACTGAGCTTGAAAATATGCATCAATGCTCTTCTAGAATCGAAGTTCCAAATTTTGCATATACACATAGTTAGTTTATTGCATAAGCACTACTTATCTTTGTCTCTCTTCCTCCCAAAGCAAATGACTATTTTTGTAATTATTGTAATACTGATGACTAGTCGTGGTAAATCATCATTTAATACCAAAATCGACCATTTTCTGAGACTGAATTTCCTCTATTTTACTATTTTAGATGTTTCAATATATATTTCTGACGACAGGTTTGTCATTTTTTTAATTATAAAGAAATTGTGTCCTTTTCTTGAGCTGGTTGTTTCGTTTGTTAGAAACCCTATTTTGCTGAGCATTGTTTAGGTGTAAAGTTATCCCAAGCTATTTAGTGATGTACATATCATCACCAATTTCTTTTTTATATATATATACAAAAGACACCACATTTTAAAGATAAAAAAAAAAATTACAAATATTGAAATTTAAATTTTAAATTTACTAGATGTTACCTCTCATAATTAAGGAAGTCAAATTTAAACTTATTAAATATCACCTTTTAAAGATAAATGTAGGAATCAAATAAATTAAACAGTAAGTTCATTTCTACAATGACTTTAGCAACTGATAATATTCAATTAGGGAACGAAGGATGATTTAACCAAGACCAAGGTGATCTTGACAGACTTATAACAACCCAAAATATTTCACCCTCTAGTTAATTCTTCATAAGCCACCATAAAGTTCATCAACAGTTTATTTATTTGTCTTTGAATTGATAATTATGACCTTTATTTGGTGACATTGCATTGGAGACTATTCGCATTCCATCTCAAAAATATTTACTGGACAATTATTCCATTGGATGCATATGTAATGATCATAATTTGGGAATAACACGATGGACATGCATATATGATCATTCATATTCACAAGAAATGAGGACATATTCAGTTTTTTGTATTGATATTTTATCAAGGACAACATTAATAGAAAGTGCGATTATTGATGCCTACCATATTATATATAATATATATATATATATGAATAATGATTCACTTACATCTATGTAATTCTTATATGTTTTTGGATTTTTAAATAAAAATTAAGTTTATGACTTATTTAAATTAAAATAATATTTTTAAATTTAATAATTTTGATCCAAAAATCTAAAAAAATTTTAAAAATTACTGAATCATTCCTCAATATATATTTTGTTAAAAAAATTAATAAAATTTCCCTGTTAACTAACATTAGCAAGGACGACTCCACACCTGTTTTTCTTTTGTAACTAGCTCGCTTTCTCATACGTGATCGCTTTAAAGGAACAAACACTCTAAAATGACATAATAATTCCATAAAATAGAAGTCTTCTTCAAATTATGATATATCCTTCCAATCTAAGATGAAACTTTTTTGTTAGATTACAAGGGGGGAAGGAAATAGGGATTTAGAACTCACACACACGTGGCTTCTTCGAGGCTTTTATATATATATATATATATATATATATATGTGAAAACTTTACATTAATATTATATATAGTTAAATGAAAAGGTCAATATTGGTTTTTTAATAGGAAATTTTATTTACATTTCTTTTTTATTATATACACCTCAATACTAAATACACTTCAAATTCAAATCTAAATTTCTTATTTTTACTAAATAAACCACATTTTTCTATTTTTCCTTCCTACTCTTTCATTTTCATTCTCTCTTCATTTTCAATCCAAAAAACATCCTGCTTTTCAGTTTTTCACTGATTAAAAGTAAGATTTTTAGCTTTTTTTTATTAATTTGGTTGAAATTTATTTGAAATGTAAGTGAAAATAAGTTAGGGTTTAAGGTAGAAGTTAAGGTGAATTTAAAATTCTCATAAATTCATTTTCAAAATGGATTTTCGAGAAGTCTTTGAGAAGTCTTTCGAGAAGGCTTAAGATTTCTCAAAAAAAAATTTTCAAGAAGTTTAAAGATCCATTTTTTTTGTTTTCTATATAAAGAGGATAAATCCTTTGTGCAAAGAGGATTGATCATGTCCAAACTCGAGAGTTTACATGTTTTTAATAAGGAAAAAATTGAAATTTTTTGTTTAATGTCATTTTTCATTTACGGAAGTTTGTTAAATATATTTTGTAAGCTTAATGAGTTTTTTTTTATTACAAATATGGCTCATACACAAGGATGAGGTATTTTTACCCGAGGCAGAAATACCAAAACTGATGCCGGTCTAAGTCGGAGGTGTCAATTGCCATCGAGAAGAGACAGTGAATAGAAAAGATGGTGAGCTAGAAGACTATACAGTCGATGACACTCCTCAGGCTGAGCCTTTGACTTCCACCATGGATGAGTATCACATGGAATCTTTTCTAAGAGGTTCAATTAACACCTCCATTATACGAAGTTTGTTTCTCATGTTGCATTCCAAATTTGGAATGGCTAGGTAATCACTCGAATCATATAATATGAATTGTGTTAGTTTATGTCTTTAGAGTGCCTTGGTTGATTGTCATTATTGATGTTACTATGTATGTTATTTTTTTTATTTTTATGATATTGTTGATCTAATTTTTGTTGTTGTTGTTGTTGTCACTGTTACAAGAGTGAGATATATTGAAATCGATTAACCGTAGGCCAAAGTTATAGTAATGGCATCTAGATACTGCATGCATCAAGATCCAAGTGTACGTTGTCCAGTCGAGTTTGTTCTCACTCATCGACTACACCTATCATACCATCAATAACTCAACGATGCTATCCATTTGTTGAAAGGTAACAACTGGAAACGAACACATTTCATATATTATTCAGTGAGATAAGTATTACGTTCAACAATGTATTCGTCCTTCTACACATATTGATCACTGGACCACGATTTCAATGAATCATTTGACAATGCACGAGGCCAACATAGTACTTTTGAGTTTTTTATGAGGTGGCTAGATCCGAGATTGAGCAGGGAAAAAGATTTACTATTCGACTATCTTGGCTGCATGATACCTTCAAGCATGTCACTGATACATGAGATAATGAAGTGATTGCTTGTGCATCCTGGGCTTTTCTGCTATATTTGATAAAGTATATGTTATTCTGTGATAAGACTATGATGAGAGTCTCGGTAACGTACATACCTCTATTGGAAGACCTCATTGTCACGAATAGCTATAGTTTGGGGATAGCTGGCCTCACTTACTTATATAGGTAACTTTAGATTATGAGACAAGCAAACGTACATCAGATCGACTGATATCTAACACTTATCTATATATGTTTTTATAATTAATTAAAAATATATTATAATTATTTGATTTATTTATTATTCCTCATGTATGTAATTATCTAATTAAATATTACTTATGTATTTCATGTAGGCGTGGATTTATAAGTATTTTCTATCGTTAAGCCTAGTCACCATACTGACATACTTAGATGATCTATCATGTATTTGATGATGGAAGGCTCATACTTATGCCGATACATTGTATGTTTTGCAAGAGCACCTAGATGGGTTAACAATATTGAATGTGTGCTGAAAACCATACATCGATCGATGAAAAGCGTATCCATTACACAAGATTGCATTTTTTCACTAGATGTATCATGTGTGGGGCAATCGTAGAGCCATATCACCCAGAGAGGGTTCTACAATAGTTTGACTTTGTACAAACAATTTTGCCAAGACTATTAACTCCTGTCTCATGCTAATCGATGACCATCATCCAACCAGTACGATGTTGTATATAGCTTCCTACACCAATACTAGGAATGATGAAAGACATACTGTGTCGGTTAAGTGTCAAGGTCAAAGATGTCAGAGGCAAGAGAATGTTCATCCGACTACAATGCCTAGTTTTTAGTTATTTCACAACCTCCAATTTAAAATCTAGAACATCAATCCAAATTTCAACTTCAATCAGTTGATACTACACATACAAGTGATTCAAGATGTTATAAATTTTATCATTTTAAGTTTTTTTATTAATTGATTAATTTTAAATATATGCTATTAATACTAATAACATTATTAATATTTTTGTAATAAAGCTCAACTGCTTTATTTTTTATTGATCATATTTTGGCTAGCGGATTTAGTCAGAGTTTTAACTATTGAAGAGATGTCATTATCCAAATATGAGACATATTAGATGGGTTTAACCATACTGTTGCAAGTAGTAGTAGTTAATTTTGACCAATATTGATTCCTGCACCATCAGTTTATGCATTCGACTGCATCAACCATCCAATTAGCCTGTGCTCGCTCTATCCACAATCCCATCAATACTGGCACCTATGAGTCCGCTCATGGATGCTCCATCTCTAATCCCATCTATATAGGCACCTCCAAGTCCTCTAATGCATACTCCATTAGCACCTCATATCCCACTCACAGTCACGTCGTCCCCACCACCAGCAACATTGGCCATATCATCATCTTTACACGATTTTCCCTTACGAAGATAACAATATCAGCCCTACTAGAGACTTCCATGCAAATAGTAGAGCTCACTTTTTCTATACCACATGTATATCTTCAAGGCAATAAGCCAAAGGATAGGGATTGATATTGATTATTTATTATTAACATGTACGACTACTGATTTTATATTTAGTTAATTATGTTTAGGTTATTAATTTTATATTTACTTCATTTTGTTTATATTTAGTTTATATTTATCAAATATTCATAGATTATTACCTCTTCAATATGACACATCCCATTACAAAAATATCCAATATAACAATCATCTATCTAAAATGTCTATCAACCTCAACGTCAATGATGCTTTGTATATATAAACCATGCTTGTCCATTAGATAATATAAACCATAAACATTAATACAAAGTGTTAATAATTATTACAAAAAAAAAAATCAAATAATGTCTATTGTTTCTTGAGTAGCCATATCAGAATTTGAACTAAACAATAACTTGAAATTTTTAATACAAGGTACATATGAAATCTCCCACCCTTGAGCATAATTATTTTAAACCTTACACTAGTTGTATGCAAAATGAGGTTTTGCTGAGAATGGCTTCATAAACACCTACATAAAATAAAAACAATAAATACAAACATTAAATGACAACATTAAGTAACAGTACCTGCATAAAATGATAATTATTAACAAATCCATTCATAAGTAATATTTGCTCTGATGGTGCAATTGGTACAAATCTAATAAGGAGATCTATTAGGCATTATCTCAAACCGATATGGGCTAGTACAACTTTATGTCAGAAGGAAATAAAGTAACCCATATTAGGTAAGGTCATCTAAT